TTCAAACCACAAGATTCCTCTACAAATCTACTCTAATGCCTAAAACATTAAAAACTGAAAATACCAAAATTGGCAAGTTTGTGGAGCAACTGGATCTCTCCTTCCTTGCTTTGAGGGTGTAAACTGGTGCTACTACTATGGAAAACTGTTTTATAATATCCCTTAAAACTGAGTATAACTTAAAAAGTCCAGCTCCTACCCAGCAGAAATGCATACATGAATTTATCAAAAGAAATACACAAGAATGTTTATAGAAAGGTTACATAGCCCAAAAAAACAGAAAACAACCCACAGCTCCAACAAGAGTAGGATGTATAAATAATTTGTGGTATATTCACATAATGATACAATAATATATAGCAATAAAAAATGAATGGCTACTATGTGCAACAAAATGGATGAATCTTACAAACACAATATTTATCAAAAAGACAGAATACAAGTGTGACTCTGTGATTTCATTACTTAAATTCCAAATATAGGCAGAAGTCAGAAAAATGGGAGCTTATGGAATACTTATAGCAGGGGTCCTCAAACTTGTTAAACAAGGGGCCAGTTCACTGTCCCTCAGACTGTTGGGGGGCTATTGGAGAGTGCAGCGCACATTCCACACATGCGTACTGTGGGCCCAGGACAAGTTGGCTGCTAAGCAGGACAGGCAGCGGCTGCAGAAACACCTGGCGGGCTGGATAAATGTCCTCGGCGGACCGCATGTGGCCCTCAGGCCGTAGTTTGAGGACGCCTGACTTATAGCATTCTTAATCTTGATCTGGGTGTTAGTTACGTAATTTTATTCTCTTTGTAAGAATTTGTTGAATTGTGTGCTTATGGTTGTGAATTTTTCTATGTTGCAATTTAATAAAAATGTTTAGAAAAAATTCAATATCTATTTATAACAAAATTTCTTAATAAATCCAGAATGAAAGAATATTGTCTTAAAATACAAAAAAGAATGACTCTGAAACCAACATCTGTTATCCTATAAATATTTCAACACTATAAGTGATCCCATCAATGTAAGTAAAAATACAAGAGGGTTCTCTGTCATCTCTACCATTAAAATTTGTTCTGAAAATATTAGTCCATACCACAAGGTTAGAAGAAAGAAATAGAGTATGTATAAATACTAGAAAGGGATAAGTAGATTTTTATTATTTGGAAAAATATGATTGTAAACCTGGAAATCCAAGTGAAAATACCTGGAAAATTAATTTAAAAAACAGAATCCTATTAGGTGGCTGGCAAACAAAAGTGATATAAAAAATCAATAGTTTATCTATAAACAAGTAATAATTAAGATTATATAAAATGGAAAAATCACATTGACTGGTGCAACGCAAAAATAAACACCTATTAATAAAATTAATAAGAAACATGCAGGAAACTAAAACTCTACTGAGGATCAAATGCAAGAAGAAAATTGAATAATAAAACTCAACATTGCAAGGTGTAAACTGATCTCTGTAACTATGCAAACTGCAAACACCAACATGATTTTGGGGGGATTAGGGATTTGATAATATTTATCATGTATATTTATAAAAGTAAAGATAAGCAAAGAGCCAGGAAATTCTGAGGAAGAAAAGTAGTGACAGAGGACTCAATAGTCACTGCTACAGTAAGAGACTGAATGAAGAGTTTAGAAGCAAATATTTAAATTAGTGGATTAGCTAGTAAATAGATTTGAGACAACCAGCTAGGTTTTCTTTTATGGAGGGTTAGGAGGAGTATTTGGGAGACAGCCAGATATCTAGCTTACATTTTATGCCAAAATAAATTGCCCATGGATAGATGATTTAAACATACAAACAAAAATAAATCATAAAATTGATAACAGAAAACATGGAAGAATCTTTTTACAATCTTGGCACTACATGTACACTAGGTAGTACTGTAAGTACTTTATATGTAATAACTAATCCTCGCAATATCTAAGAAGTAGATATTATTATGATCCATATTTTACAGATGAGGAAACTGAGGCATAGACGGGTTAAGTGTGTTGTCCAAGGTTGTAGGCCAATAGGCAGAAGAGAGATGATTTGAACCTCAGCGGCCTGGCTCCAGAGTTTGTGCCCTGAACGACTGCAGTACCCTGCGTCTGTGCTGCCCTGTGCCAGAGGGGAGATGCAATAAGATACAGCCTCTAACACACCCTCTGTATGTGCACAGATGATGTCTGAGCTGCTGAATTTAAAAATATAAGCAAAGTTTAAAAACAAAACAACAAACTGGGAACATATTTGCAATATATATCATAGACAAGGTACTGAATTTTAAAAATATATAAAGAATTCATACAAATCACTTATAAATGAACAAAAAGTACAAAACAAAGAGAAAGAAACACATGAACAAGCAGTTTACTAAAAAGAAATGCCTCTAAGTTTATGCAGTGTCACTCATCTTCAAAAAGTGCAAGTTAAAACACTGTTGAGGTGTAATTTTTACTGACCACATTGTCAAACTGTGAAAAGGTTAGTAATACTGAATGTTTTGGCCAGGTTGAGGAAAAATAGACACACCTTATATTGCTGGAAGTATAAGTTGGTAGAATTTTTAAATGGTAACTTGGCAACATTCATCAAAAAACTTAATGTACTTATCATTTGACCCATTAATTCTACTTCTGGCTATCTAGTCCAGAGATGTATAACTGTCAGAAGACATATATGCACAAGAATGCCCATGGGATCAGTGTTTTACTACTCAATGTAAGCCAACTACATCTCTAAGGGCACTGTGAGTTCAGCTGACATTTTTATTTCTTATGGAAAGACTGGCTTGATGAAGGAGACAGTCCATTGACTTATATTTTGGTGCAAGCTCCTTACCTCAATGTGAAACAGCTCTTTTGAGTAGCACTAGTTTATAATAACTAAAAATTGGAAATGATCCAAAAGTACATCAAATGGGGTATTTGCTAAATATTAATAAGTTATAGTCAATCCAAAAATAAAATCCTATGTATTCATTTAAAATAATGAAATCTATATATATGATAGAATGAAAAAATGTTGCAGACCAGTAAGCATGTTGTAATAAGTGCGAGATAGAAAAGTACTAGCTTGTATATACATCTAGCTTCTAGAAGCACACAAGCGACATTGTGGACCAGGGTTATCTTTGGGATGTGGGGTAGGCATCATGGGCCTTTTTATCTTGTGCCCTTCTATACTGTCTACAATTAGCACAAGGTACATTTACAGTTTTTTAAAACACAAATTAAAATTTAAAATTTTGTTTAAAGGTCAAGAATACCAGTCAGATTAGACTCACTGCAGGTCAAATTTCTGGGAACTGGCTTTGGGCTAAAATTTGTTTTAGAAGATTTACAGAGACAGTCTTTACAGGGCATAAATTCCCACAGAGTCATCTGTGTAAATATGTAAGGTCAGATGTAACATCAGCATGTTTTTCCAAACTCAGAAATCTGTTTTTGTCACTTTAAAAAAAAAAGTTCATTACAGCCAATGCGCCCATCTCCTGAACCAAAGTTTAGTCCATCTCTAAGATTGGTCTCAAAGCTAGGAAGTGGCGAAGTTGGGATTCAGTCCCTACAATGTGACCGGCAATCATCTAATTCTAATCACAATTTTTACAAAGATGTACAGGACCAAGAGACTCTTCGTGCTCAGAAGGGCCCAAAGACGGCCGACCATAAGAAGTATGTGACAAAGTCTAGGAGTCCTATATGCTTCGTGGAAACCACGATTTATATTGCCAGAAAGTATGGGGTATTAGGCCTTGCAGGGTTATGGGGAATGCTAATCCTTAACATCGAAACAGTGCCCCGAAGTTTGCAAAAGTGCTTTTACACAGGCTGTACCACTCAGTCTTCCCGACAGATCTCTGGAGTAGGTAAATTTCATAGATCTGGTTTTACAGACACAAACACTGGGCATAGAAGGCGTATGCTTGTTCTTCAAAGTCATTAGGGAGTGAAGCAGCAGAGCTAGAATGCTCCAGCTGGGCCCTCACCAGGACCACGCTGCTCAAGGCATGGCCCGACCATGCCCCCCTGCCAGGGAGCCTGGTCAGCTTGCTCTTGTTCCTGTGTTTACTTGCACACTGTGATGCCACTGAGCTGGATGAGTTTGAAAGCAGAGCATGGCAGTTGCCACTGTTGGTTAAACATTGCTTCTTGGAGCGGGCAGAAAATAGCAGCTTGAGCCCTTCTTAGTCATCTTGAACAGCATCAAGGAACACACATAGAGGAAAAGCACGTCTTGTTTATCTCAAAGAAGGAAGCTACTGCACATGCCATGTTGTGCTTTTCTCCAGGAAGTTCACAGTGACAATGACAAAATGATCTTCCTTGAAGGACTTTCTAACTCTGATGCTAACTTTCACCATTTCACTGTAGCCTTTCATGCGAGACATGTTTCCCTTCCTAAAGTGCTCCATTAAACTACCCTTATCTTATATTTCATTTCTATGAAATAGAATATAATTTCTCCTACACAGAGGAATTATAATTATGTGACAATACATTCCACTTACTAAGCACCTATTATCTGTCAGACATTGTGGGAGGCACTTTATACAGTGTATATTATCTCAACCTTACAGCAAACTCTACAAGGTGTAGCTCCTTCCTCCCACTTTGCAGATGGGAACTGAAGAGAGTCTGATCGTCAGCAGTGGGATGCAAACATGCATCTGTCCAGCCTCAAGGCCAAGGTTTCAAACCTCTCCAGTCCAGAGCACACCAGTAAAATGCTTATCGTCTTAGTGTCTGAAAGAAGGCATTTAGTGAAAAAGTGCATTTTTAAGTCATGTATTTTAATAGTCAGCATCACACTCTTTTTTACCTCGGTGCTTAAAACGGTGGGTTGGTTGTCTAAGGTGATGAAATTCAAACCTAATCCAAACGCGGGGTCCTCGTATCGTATCCCTTACCAACCTACAGAGAATTGCCGTACATAATGGACGCTTCTGTTCTACTGCTTTCTCCACCTGGTCAACCCTCAAATGAAAACAAAATTCATATGATCATTGAGGTCTAGAAATTAACTTTTATTTTAAATCTGTCAAGAACTCCTGGCAGTTATTAATTTTATTAAAATGATTACATATGGCAAAACAAAGAATAGAGGTAATTCTATTTCTCTACAGCATAAATTATGAGTTAGAGTCTCAGCTGCTGGCTCAACATTGTTCAAGATTTTTTTCAAGGATTAGGGGGGACTTTAATATCCAGAAAATGTTAAAGCAGCAAAAGAAAAAATAAATTAATCGCCACTGGAGATATTGCCAAGGATGTGCTTATTATAAAATATTCTTGATGTGTTAATTATAAAATCTTTCAAGCTTTGATATTTAAAAAAAAATATGTGAATAGCTGTCCTATTTTGGCTTGTCACCTATAGTTTACAATACAGAAGAAATTTGCTGATTTAAAAAAAAGATGGCAAAAATGAGTCATGACTAATTCAAATAAAATACAACCAGCATTCATTCATCTAACTGAAATATGTCAAAACAAAAACATTTTTATTAAAACATTTAATACCAGAATAACTTATAATAGTATGAAAAACAGTGAAGTACTTGTCTTTAGTTTTCATTGACATGCTCACATTTTGGCAAAATTGTTTTGTAAAGATTCCAAAGATTTGGGATCTCTAACTCCTTAAGGATATAAACCAAAAGAACTTATACTTCATCTGATCATACAGTCATAACTTATATATCTTGCTTTGCACTTACTGTTACTGCAAACAGCAATTTAGAAAACAAAGTAAAAATATACATATATATACACACACACAAAATATTTCTATACCAAATTATCTTCATTACACTAAATAAACCCAATCCCCAAATGCTATGTTACATGAAAAAGTGTCGTACAATTTATATCAAGACTGATACTGTCTATCACTTAGAGCAGCCTTTGGTTTTAAAAGCATTTTGCAAAATAAAGAAAAATGTCACCACATGGCTGCACTATTGGCCCTCATTCACTCACAAAAATGCTTTCCAGTTTAAACAAAACAAAACAAAAAAATAGATTACATACCCAGAAAAAAAATCCCACCATAAAAGTCAAATCTTTTTACTTCTCTGTAGCACATACACTCTGTTATATTTGGCATTTCCACTGTTTATTCAAGTTTCAAGTCTTCCCAAGCTGATTAGAATATTGTTTTTGATTGAAAAAGATATTCTCCTTTCTTGATATTGATTATTCTCACTCAATAGTAGTCTAATTTAGAAACAAAATGTTTTCTTTTAATGCTTGATTTTGCTTAATTTTTACTTTAATGTCCTGTTTGGCAAAATCCAGACTTACTGTTCAATGTTTTGTTTTCCGTGTGTTTTAAATCTAAAAATCAACTTTATGCGTGTATATGTATATTCACACAGAGATACATTTCTCTCATTGTCTTGTTCTCGTTGCAACACAAATTGTCCATCAGCAATTGCAACTTGAAATGAACCAAATAAAAGGTTTTCAGTCATTCCATATGAAAACAGTTTCCATCACAAAAAAACACTGAGCTCTAATGCAAACAGTATTATGTTTTAAGACTAAAGTATAAGTTTAGTTCTACACAGGAAAATTTTGAGTTATTTATATAATAAAGTTTTTAAAAACTTCAGCAAAACTTGAAAAAAAAAACCCAAATGAATTCTAAAGGGTACTGTGGTGCTTTCCAGCAGTGTTTGAAAAAAGTTTTCCTGAACACATTGCAATCTTAAATTAGTTTGAAGGAATCACTTCGTAAATGTACACATTATGTGGATCACTGTACCTTACGTTTTGGAAGTTTGGAACATAGCAGATATGCAGGCAAGATACATACATAAAATTCTCACTGTCACTCTGAAAAGCACACTGAACAATTTTCAATACTGTAGAAGTTCGTTTTTTTGTTTTTAAAGGAACATTTCTCTTGAGCTGAACAGATTTCCAAGTTTTAATATGTGAATTACTGAATATAATTCAAGGGCTTTCAGCGATTCTGGTTTCAGTCCTGGAATGGTTAGGTCCGTCTGGAATGATGCAGGCAGACTAATAAGCATATGGCATTGGCATTTTGAGGCATAGCTGTCCGACTATGCCCACGTTGGAGCTTATTTTCGGGAAGCAAGGCACTTACTGTATGGTAATGCAGACGTTTTATGCATAGTTTGAATAACATAAAATAACTTAATATTTTTGATTAAAATGAGTTTTTTTTATAATTTATACGTCTTTTATAGAAGCAACTAAATGATCTATTTAGGATAATTAAAAATAAGAAGAGGTTTGAAAGGGAGTCATTCTCACCACTGCTTCGGCTCTTAGGATGAGGATTTATGAAAAACACTGAAAAGAACATCTGTGGTTGGATCTGAAAAGCAACGAGCTAGCTTTTAAAACTGCTGCACCAGCGGCACCTTGACAGTCTTGACTTCTGCTATGTGGGACGACTTCTGGATGATGCAGCTGGTAGTTCCCTGCAGTTTGTCTTTTCCCTGTGCAAGATTTGTTAAGGCCATGGCTGCATTAATCTCCTTCCAGTACGTGTCATCCTTGCTGGGCCCCTTTCTGTTAGCTGCACTAGAGTTAAGCAGAACAGAAAGAAAATGATCAAACTCAACTGCAGTTTGCATTGAAAATGCCACTGCTGCGAAGCACAAACGGCCAATAGAAACATCTGCTCACCTGTCACCTTTATTGGATCCATTGTCCAGCGTGTCTGTAAAGAAAAGCAAACATTCAATTACTTTTCTTTTTTTCTTTCTTTTCCTTAATCCCAGGAGGTTCAGCACTAATTACCAGAAATAAAAAAAAAACCATCAAGAAATACGGTTGAAAATTAGTTGGTTATAAAGATAAAGCAATTTGAATTAAGATGCAAAAAAAAAAAAATCTCTCTGCAAAGAAGCAGGAATAAGAAAAGAATAGGTAACAAAGAAAAAAAAGTAGCTTTCATAGATATACAAAAGTCTGAGGTTAATTCACTGTGAGAAATTGTGCCTTTGCATCAGGAGGCAAATGGTACGTAGTAATGGCACTGGCTGTACCTGGGGCCAGGCTCTGGTCTTGCCCCACTGCTCACCTGTGCTGTCACATTGGGCAGATTAAAATGCCCCAGAATGTCTAGGATCCAGTTTCCTCCACCATAAAATACGGGCTTCCTAGAAAATCTTGAGGGTGCCACTGCCTCAACACTTTATGATTTCATGGTTATCTGACGGTCGTCGTTTCAGGAAAAGGATGGGCAGATAGTGTCTGCTGGCTAGTTAGCGAATGAGTGCCAGATTGGACGCTGACAGCCACACGGGGTTCCCTGGCGCGTCTGGGAGAAGGAGCAGCACCAGCCCTGGCTCCCCGAAAGAGAGATCGCCTCCCCCTGCTGCTGCAGGAAATGAGAGCCAGGATGCTTTTGCGCGGTGCCCTCTCCCAGAACACTAAGTCTCCCAACACCACACGAATGCAAAGAAGGATGAAAATGCGTTCTTGACCTTGATTAAATTTCTCTGGGCAGCGCATCTGGCTAAAAGAATGTGGGACGAGGGACACAAACTTGACCTACTTGGGGGGAAGATGCATAGGGGGTGGAGAGGGTACCCGCCTGGTGTGGGAAGAAGGGCAGGCAAAGGAGAGTGGCTGGGACTACCCATCAGCTCCTGAGATTCCAAACTAGGGTGTGGCTCAGCCACTGTCACCCTCATCGTCATCCTCTGCAACAGCCGACATTACCGAGGCGCTGCAGAAGGGGGCGCTGTGGTGCGCGCAGGGAACAGGAAAAATGTCACATTTGCTCAAGGGGCTCTCCTAGTTCTGTGGCCTCTGCACTAGGTCTTTTCTTGCCCTCAGTCTTCTCTCCTCCTTTTATTTCCCCCAACCCAGTATTTCTCAAAGTGCTTTGTTTCCTCCTCTGCAATAATCAAGGCTAGAGGATGCAACCCAGTTTCCCATCCTGAGCTCTAAGAGACCGAGAACAGTTCGCAGAAGAACAGCAACTGGATCATAATAGAGTCCAACTAGGGCAAAAATTTCCGGGGAAGAGATGGTCAAGAGAGAGTAATTCCATGACCATGTAGACGAGGCAGCTAAGCTTCGATGTACTCTCTGAAGAAAAGGAACTGGGAAAACCTGCTAACATGTCCTAGTCTGGCCTTAAAGTGTAGACCTCCAGGCAATAATGGGTCAATCTGAGCTCTCTTCACAAGCCTTCCCCTGGCATCCCAGGAAACTTTTTTTTAAAAAAAATGGCAAACAAACAAAAGCACTCAATGAACAACTGACAAGGTTTTTATGAAGAATAAATGAGATAATGTGTGTCTAACCCAAAATGGAACCACAAATGTTAGTTCCTTGAGTCTTCTTTCATTGAATAAATATGCAAGCAGCATTTAAAAGGTTTTAGGGATTCTTTGGGGGAAATAATTGAATCCATGAACAGCGCGAGGTGACCTGTGCCCTGCGTCTGTTGGCCCTTCCTAGGGCTAGTCTGCATGGTCAGCTACCCCTCTGCTGCTTTTGATAACTTGTCAGTTATAAAAATTACTCAGGTACGTGGAGGAAAAGAGTGATCATTTTTAAGTTACAGAACTCTGATAATCCTGATTTACAGATCACTCACTCTGACAGTGCCAGGCACGACTCCAAGTGCGTTTGTGTCTTGACTGCCTTGTGCCAGTGACTGTGTATGTGGACAGCATGTCTCCCTGGCGTCCGTGAAGTCACCCTTTGCTTACTACTGTCATGAGTAGATCTTTGCTCTGGAAGGACAGAGACAAGGCGCTACCGGAACAGAGAACAAGGCAAGGCCTTTGGAAGAAGGAAAGCCGGCAGCATTGGACATTTTACACACACGCACAAAAAAAGTGAGTTAGGCCTTTGCTCGATTTTGCCCACAAATTGCAACAATTCTGTTGCCAAAGTGAAGCAATAGGTTACGGGGATATTTATTCAATGGAAAGACTTGGCAAAAGCAGAGTAAGTTCCATGAAGCTTAAATAACGTTAGGGAAATAACAAAACATAATTTGGAAAAGACCATGTAACCGAAGCTCTGGCTCACAAACAAAGCAGGCTCGTGTACACGACGAGGACCAGAGTCCGACTCCCCACCTGAGCCGTCAACCTGAGCGCGGTTACCGCGCAGAACAGAGGACCGCGTGGCTGCGGGTCACAGAGCCCGGCGACCCTGCTACACCAATGCAGGCAGCCGGCGTGCAGAACACGTGACTCACTGCCAGCTCCACGGAGACCTCCCTGCACCCTGGGGAGTGAGCCGGCACGTCTTACAGCCCCACGAACGCCTGGCCGTGGCCAGCACTCCCTGGGGCTGAGTCCTTGAACTTGTGCCACTGAGAAACAAGTTCACTGCGGCCAACTGTGAAATTATAAAATTCTGCTCACTCTTTTGGTGTATGTGTGTGACACTCTGGTGCCTATGAAAATATCTTAGAAGTGTTCAGACATAGACTCTAGACTCTGGGCATTCTTCATCAGTTTCACAGATTTCAACACTGTCCTAAGCAGGACTTGATAGACTGAATTCTAATTCTACATTTTAGTTTTAAGGTAGGTGGGCATGTCAGTGCCCACTGAGTATGGATTAGGCTCCTTTCCAGTAAAAGAAGAAAAGTCTTCACAACAAATGATGAAGAATAGAAACATTCTGCTTCTTTATCAATAGTCAATGCCCAAACTGTATATAACAAACTTAAAGATTGAGACCGACAGGAAATCGCTGACTGCCACCATTTTGGGGAGTCTCTGTGTCCAGGGTGGTTTGAGTTCAAAAAATAAATTGACGTGAGAAGGGCATGCTGCTCCTACTGCTGTTGCTGGTGGGCTGCCCACTGTCGCTCGGGTATTATGCATCCGAGAGCCACCTCCCGTGGAGTTGTGTGTTCTGGCTCCCAGAAGAACCAGCAAAAGGAAGACAGCAAACAGGGCCCTTGTACCCTGAAATAGTCACGCTTTTGTAGGAAAGTAAGGACGCTGAAGATCTGGGAATTTGGGGAGATTTTCTTTCTTCATTATGCTGAGATGAAATCTGGGGAAATGTCCCAGTTATTTTAGAGAACTGATGTCATCTGAGGGGAACTCAGAAAATTTATAATCTTCTCATTATATGCAAGGGTCATGTTAAATGTTGTAATGTTACTTTCTTATTCTTGCGGCTCTCGCGTGGTTCCCGGCGTTGTGTGTTGTCTTTCCGGCCCGTAGCGAGCATTCAAGGAGCAGCGGGGCTGTTGTGCCCATCACCGCTGGTCACGGCGCTCTGACCTTCTGCCAGCTGCTGCCAGGCGCCCTCCCGCTCTGCTCCAGAAATGGCGCCCAGCAGGCTCCAGACAGCCGCTCTGGAGAAGGAAGGGTCTGGATGTTGCGAGAAGAGGGAAATGTCAAGGCGGAGCGAGCTGGGGCTGCAGACTGCACCCGCAGGCAGGGACGCGGGGCTGCCGGCCACAGGCGACTCAGCTGTCTCCTGCTCTGCAAGTAGCTTGGCCCGTCCCCCAGCGTCTGGGCTAAAAGGCATTTTTAGATTCGAAGGTTCCAAAAATCAGCTACGCTGTCAATTACCATAAAAGCAACTGGTTGGCAGGAACGACTCACTGAACCAGCCAAAAGAGCATGTTTTAAGACCAAAAGGGAAAAGAAAAGAAAAAAAAAAAAGAGGTGCGTAGTTAGGAAAATCTTGGATGCTGTAAAACCCAAACTATGTTGAAACTTACAGTGGGGCTATCCTCGGTTTGGACATGTGTTTCCTTATAAAGTTAAGTAGAGAAACAATTATAAAGAAAACCCAGTTCTACTGCAACTCGGGACGTGTAAGCACAAAGCTCTGTGGGCCAAGTGTCCTTTCAACTTTGATAAATGCAACGTAGGAACACGCTAATTTTGATATATATTCCTGAAGTAATATTTGTAGCCACAAAAGGGGACAAAAATATGGCCAAATCTTCTGCTCTGAGATAGTTTTTTCAAATTTAATAAATAGGCCCTAAAGTTAGGAATGTTTCTGAGTGTTTCACAATATGCTACTCACACCACTGAAATGTAAATACAATTAAGTAAGATTGAGTATTTTAAATTAAATCATCTAAAATCATATAATACATGTTTCCCTAAATTAAAATGAAGAATGGAAGAGAAGAAACTTTTGGGACCATGGAAAGGGAGGTGAATGAGGAGTAAGTGAGAAATCATTGCTGAAACAGTTCCTCCAAGAGGGGAAACAAAGGCAGTCCACTAGGATTAGTTGTGGAAAAGAAAGCCACTTGTATTGCAAAACAATCAAAGAATTGTTTGTGCATCAAATAAATGACGGTTCAGTCAATGACAGACCACATATATCTCAGCTGTCTCATAAGATTATAATGGAGCTAAAAAATTCTTATCACCTAGTATTTACTATACTTTTAATTCTTACAGTGTGCTCCTGCATCTACATCTCTATCTATCTATCATCTATCTATCTATCTATCTATCTATCTATCTATCTATCTATCTATCTATCTATCTATCTACACACATATATATAGTTAAACAGCCCCAGGCAGGTTCTTCAGGAGGTGTTCCAGAAGAAGGCACTGTTGTTGTAGGGGTGACAGCTCCATGCCTCCCTGAAGACCTTCCAGTGGGACAAGACGTGGAAGACAGTGACACTGATGATCTTGACCCAGTGGGGCCTAGACTACTGTGTGTGTTTGCATCTTAGGTCTTAATAGAAAAGTTT